GAACAGCTAAGATACTGCGCAGAACCCTCAAGCTCCCAGGCCTCTGGTAGAGGACCCGAGCTTGAAGGATAAACCGCCCGCAGGGGCGTGCTGGGTGTTTATATATATATATATATATGTGTGTCTCCACCTAATAAATGAATGGGTTGGATTGATAATTTGACCTTGTCAGTCTAAAATGAACAAGGAAATTAAAAATCTGTTCTCATCCTAAATTTTGGTATCAGACTGAAAGAGACAGTAGCAGTGCATTTAATGAGTGATCAGTGTTCAGATTTATTTGGACAAAGTTCAACTGTCCAAAAAAAGCCTGACCTTTCCAGCAGCTGCAGAACAATCAGCTCCAGAAGGAGAGATCTAAATAACTTTGTGATGTTTCAAGTGTATAAGGTTCATCCAGCTTCCTCTCAGTAAATACTGAGAATCAAATTAATTAGTAATTTTTGTATTTTGAGTATGCGATGATGCACACAATAGAAAATAAAGGTTATTACATTCACACATTTTTAAAGAATACATCCAGAAATTAATCTCACACTGGGATAAATGATCACTGAACACTCACCTTTAACGCAGTCGTCTCTGATCTCTGTCAGAGTCCTCTCTGCACTGAAGTCTCTCTTTCTTCTCTCAGCATTTATATCGTTGTCAATCTTTGAGCGAACAAAGTAGAACTTTTTCTTCATCCTCTGAATCTCCTGAGCGAGTTTCACATCATTCTCTTTGAACCGAGCAGCCGCAATGATGATGAAGAAGTCATACTTCTCAAATCCAACATACCTCAGGTATGAGTCAGCTGGATACTTCAAGGTGCCAATTCCAGGAAGATCCCATAAGATAACATTGGGATAGTCTGGATGGAAGTGTGGTTTAGGATCCATTGAGGATTCTGTAACACCAGTAGGAGCAGCTCCCTCATCATCATCACATAGTCCTCTGAGGGCATTAACAAAGGTGGATTTACCAGCCCCAGATTCTCCTGTGATGGCAATATTTAATGTGATGTTTTTCTCCTTCATCATTAACTCATTGATCCTTGCAGCAGCTGCTGGTTGGTCATTCTTCAGCACAGCTTCATTAATTTCTTCTGTAACTGATGCAAATCCAAACTGGTCGTCTGTGCTTGTATGTAAAGTCTGAAACAGCAAAAGAGGACAAAATTTACTTTTGTGATTTGAGAGGCATGAAATGTAACTATCACAATCTAACATTATACATACAACTGGCCTAAAATGGCATAATTAAATAATTACACAAACAAAAATAAAATATCTTCAATACAAGCTGGAGCCAAATTATGGAGAGTCATAATTAATTTCTTAATATTTCGTTTTTTTCTGTCTCAGAGGACTGAAATATTTTCATTGGAGTTTAAAGCTGGACACCAGGAAGACCTGTGGAGACTCGATGCCCAGTCCTCTGAGTCCTGTGTCACAGAAGGAAAACATGTTGTGACGATCACAAAAAGAAAATATAAAATGCTAGCTGTTCTTATTATTAGTTACAAAGAATTATCAGTTGATTCAGCTTCAGTTTCCTGCAACCCTGTGGAATAGCATTGTGAGTTTCAGGTTATTGTTTTGTCACAACATGCTGTTTGAATTCAGTCATTCTGTTTCCTTCAAACAGGTGTTTTAAGATGAATTAATGAGATTTCATTAATTCATC